GATACGAAAGTAGTGTAATTGTCACTAATATTACCTACTTATATACTGTGTATAAGCTGAAAGTTAGTGCAGAATCATTTTTCTTCTATTTTTTAAAATGTTTAGGTATTTTTATAGGATTTTGACAACTTTCAGAAAAATCAGAAAAAGTCTCACGGTTTACAATATGATTCACAATATGATTCGATTCAAACCCCTTTACGATTTACGATGCAATTACGATTTTCAAAGCATTGCTTGGAGGCATCTTAGGATTAAAAGTGTAGTCACTTTCTTGTTTATATCTTATGTTTGTATTTAAGTGCTGAAATGACAACTTAGCCACCTTGCGAATGGCATCTCACCAAACCTAACATGGAATGCTAGAGTTTATGTATAAGCCTCATATGCTCTCAGATTGCCTGTACGTATTTGGACACTAAATTTTCTTTCAAGTCCTCACTAAGTTATGATACATAGAAAGTGATGAATGAGCTACCAGATTAATTGTGGAATACTTGCTAGTAATGTTAAAGTTATGCCTTTTCTCGTAAATGGATCCAGTTCTGATCATGTGCAGCCTTAGAAAAAGGGTGGTTTTGTGGAAGAATAGCAAACACTATTTGTGCAAATTCCATATAGGGGGTGTTTTGATCAATTACATTTAGATTATGGAATAATCAATTGTAAATCCTGATTTAATAAAATAAGTATTAGCTTTCTGTCAAGGCTGTAATCAATCTTTACTGCAGACAAGAGATTGGATTTAGATGATTGAGGTGTGACCATGTGAGCTGGTAAGCTACACTTGGATACACTGACAGTTTATTTGGCTGGCATTTGGGCAGAAAGGGTTCCAACTTCCAATTCAATTTGAATAAGTTATAAATCTTCAGCTGCCAAGGCTGCCATTCTTATTTGGATTTGGGACTTGGAGAAAATACACAGTGGAATCACCAACCAGATGATCAAATCTTGTAGGTGTAGCAACTAGCAAGTTGCCCACGTGATCTGAATGGGAAACCTAGATTCAAAGTGAAGGGTTCTTTTCTTGAACCTATGCTGCAATTATACAGGAGCACAATGGAAACGTACCTGGAGGTCCTTGACAACTTGGATTGAGAGAATGGAAACTTGTTAGTCCTCGGTCTTCTGTTCTCAGTCTCGGTTCAGAAATCAAACCCAAAGAAACTTTCATAGTTTTAATAAAAAGAGAATTATCTTAATAAGAAAACTGTAACATACAATAGGGTGCAATCTAATAAAATAAAACCGACGAAACCTAGATTCAAAGTGAAGGGTTCTTTTCTTGAACCTATGCTGCAATTATACTGATACACAATGGAAACTTACCTGGAGGTCCTGGACAACTTGGATTGAGACAATGGAAACTTGTTAGTCTGCACTCTTCAGTTCCCAGTCTCGGTTCAGACATCAAACCCAAAGAAACTTTCGTAGTTTTAATAAAAAGGGAATTATCTTAATAAAAAAATTGTAACATATAGGGTGCAATCTAATAAACTAAAACCAACCAATAAAATGATATATAATATATATTTTTTTGCTGCAAAAATGATATAATATGGGTGAGTGCCTAATATGAAAACCATCTTGGCATTGGGAGAGGTGACCTCTAAAAATTGCCTAATGGCCTAGGTGACACATAGGTGCTTGCCTAGGTGTCACCTTGACAACCATGCTTGTTTTGGAATTCTTTGGTCTTTAAGTCAGATCAATGTTCTTTGTACCCAGGAGATGTAGGGAGATCGGGCGTCTGGGTTCTGATTAGGGTCTTTGAGTCTGAAGTTGAATGAAGGTGGTGAATTTGGAGTCGTTATTTTGTTTTGATTGTTTTATGTTTTTTTTAGGTTGTTCTGGGTGTAAGTTGGTTAGTGTCTGTTTTCCTCTTGGGTGATTTCTTGTCACCTTTCTCATGTAATCTCTTTTTCTTTAATAAATTTTTCTTTATCCTTCAAAAAAAAAAAGGCCATGGAAAACCACTGACGAAATGAAGGTGCAAAGAGAATCAATTGATCAAAGTGATATACTGAATAACAACCTCCAAATCACAAGGTGCCAACTAGATGGGTGGAAAGGTCTCCTGCTGGTTGTAGTGGAGGCTTAGGATCCCTGCCTGCACCTGGGTTGGGGGATGAGCTACCCCCCGTTGTCCAAGCAAGGAAGTTAGCCTTGGAGGGGCTAATTGGATTCCAAGTCTGATTTGCAGGAAAATCTGATTGACCTGAATTGTTCAGCTTTAGGACCAACTCCAAAAAAAAAAAATCTCCAAATCAAATGATACATTGCAAAGTACATCAGAAATCCTGCAATAGCTAACGGATTTTCTGAATATGTTGGTTCAGTTGAGGTATGATAATTTCAATCTTGTAAATTATAATGAGTTTGTTGGCTCTTTTTCAAGGATTGAAAGTTGCAGTCATGCAGTGCAACTTGAAATTAGGGAATTGGAAATTGGAGGAGACGCACAACTAGTCAATATTTGGACCAAGAAAATCAGTTCAGCCCCTTGGAAATACAGACATGCCTTCAGAGAAATTGACACCCTAGCAAAGAGATTTAATTCTACTCTCAGCTGAGTAAGGATTGCCAATGGAATGGCAGATGTATTGGCAAAACAGGAAGTTGACAGGACACTATTGTTTTGGGCAAAGTTGTAGTATGATGTAATGTGGGGTGGGGAAATTGAGAAATTCCTTTAGTGACTGTACTAAATTCATGAATTCTTAATGAAAATTTTACTGATAAAAAATTATAATGAGTTTGTTTCTGTTACMTTCAATTCAAACAGTAGATACTATCACATGTTTTTCTCCTATGTTGCTAAAAGGGTTAATTACTTAAAGTACCTCTAAACTATTTTACAAATTACTTAGAGTATCTTGAAGTTTTAACTTGTATTACCCTTCCATTAGTTGTCYGTCATATTTCATTTATACATGATACCTTTAATTTTTTAAAAACCCTCAAAATTTCCTAAGAGAAACAAAGACAGACTGTACAAACCCACATTTCGACACATTTTATATGCGATGGATGTATTTTGGTTTGGGGTTTCTTTTTGAGGAGTCATATTGCCACTAATATACCACTAACATACTGGTTTGATAAAAAAACTGTTATATAGATTTCTATAAAAAAGTTGTTATGGTAGTGTAATCCTCTATCAACCCGGAAACCTTCAAGTTWCTGATTCCTTTCTTAGTTCTCTTGCAGATGGCCCAATCCCTGTTCCCGCGATGAATAGACCCATGGACTTGATTAACTGTGGTGAAATAGTGGTGGGGGAACCTCTAGAGGAAGGTCTGAAATCAGATTGTGGGAGGGAGGTAGATGATTGGGGGGAAAGTAGGAGGGACATTGAAAACAATAAGGAGGGGGAGAAGGTTGAAGAAGGAAAAACAGAAACGGAGAAGGATGACAATGTTTCACTGGAAGAATGGGGGAAGATTTGTGGGATTGGAGTAGACCCTATAGGAGAGAAGATAGAGGAGGAAGGGGATCAAGTAAAGAGCGTAGCTAATAGGATGGGGCTGAAATTAGAGAAATCTAAGGAGGAGAATATTCRGAAAAAGAAAGGAAGGACAGGGGGTGGAAAAAGAAAGAAAAAAATGAATGAAGTGGAGAATCTTATCAATGATGTAGAAGGGGACAAAGAATTTAGTGCTTGGGGGGGGGGAGAAGAAAAGGAGGTCTTTAGGTAGAGGGACTACAGGGTTTTTCCAGTAAGTCCAACGAAGATCATCAGCTGGAACGTTAGGGGTCTCAGAAGTGCTACAAAAGCCAGACATAGTCTTGATACAGGAAACTAAAGTTTAGGAGGTTGATAGGAAGTGGATTGGGAGTTTTTGGGGAGAAAGATATTGTCAATGGAGTTATGCACCAGCATGGGTAATAATAATAGTTTGGAATGAAGATGTGTTTAATTGTAGCGAAGAGTTGGTAGGTAGATTCTCAGTCTCGATAAAGCTGAAGAATAACCTGGATGGATTTGATTGGATCTTAACCAATGTTTATGGTCCAAACTCTTATAGAGAAAGGAATGCAATGTGGGAAGAATTAACAGATATTAGAGGATTGTGGGAAGGCCCATGGTGCTTAGGAGGTGACTTCAATGTGATCAGATTTGTGGATGAATCAGTTGGAGGAAGGCAAAGGGTTACCTCAAGTATGAGGAAACTTAATAGCTTTATTGAGACTTCTGAATTAAGAGACTTCCCACTAGGTCATTCCTGCTTTGCTTGGTCCAATCTCTAGGTCAACCCCATATGCTTGGTCCAATCTCTTGATTGGGAAGAACACTGGATGGGTTTGCGGGGAAAGCATCTAACCAGGATCACTTCAGATCATTAGCTAATTTGTTTATTTCAGAGGTCTTTTCATGGAGGCCCTACTCCCTTTAGGTTTGAAAATATGTGGCTTACCCATCCGGACTTCAAGAAAAAAGTTACGGAGTGGTGGGAGTCCCAAAGTCCACAACCTATTTGGGAAGGGCAAAAGTTTTTGAGAAAACTACAAAGAATTAAAAAAGAACGGAACAGAGTGAAGTTTGGGAGATTGGAAGAGAAGAAAGGAAGTCTAATTGCACAAATTGAGGAGATTGATAGGAAGGAATTGCAAGGGGTGCTAGAAGGCCATGCTAGAGAAAGGAGATGGTCACTATAGAAGGAGTTAGAGGACACATTGTTGAGAGAGGAGATCTGTTGGAAGCAAAAATTGAGGGAAAAATGGATCAAGCAAGGTGATGGTAATGCAAAATTCTTCCATGCTTTAGCAGATGGTTGGAAAAGGAAGAGCTTGATTTCTTCCTTAGTAGTTGGGGGGACTGAGATCATAGATCAAGGAGAAATCGCTAAGGCCTTTGCTGATCATTTCAGGTCATTTAATTGTAGGCCAATTACTGAGAGGTGGGCTATGGATGGACTAGATTGGGAGTCCTTGGAAGAGAATCAAGTGGAATTGTTGGAGAAACAGTTTGAGGAAAATGAAATTAAGGAAGCCATTTTCTCTATGGATAGATCTAAGGCTCTTAGGTCTAATGGATTCACAATGGCTTTTTATCAAGATTGTTGGGAGATAATTAAGAATGACTTGATGAAAGTGTTTAGGGAATTCCATAGAAGGGGAGTAATCAGCCCAGGGATGAATTCAACCTTCTTAGCCTTGATCCCAAAGAAACAAAATGTCATCTAGCCAGGAGATTTTAGACCGATAAGCTTAGTGACCAACATCTATAAGGTAATTGCTAAGGTGCTTTCTCTAAGGTTTAAAAAGGTGCTCCCCCCTCATTTCCCAATACCAGGGGGCCTTTGTCCAAGATAGGCAAATTATTGATCAAATCCTAATTGCAAGTGAATGTGTGGAGGCTCAAAAAAGGTTAAAAAGAAAGGGTGTGGCAATTAAATTGGACCTGGAGAAAGATTATGGCCTTGTGGACTAGGACTTTTTGGTAAACATTACGAGTAAGAGTGGGTTTGGGCACTTGTGGTGTAAATGGATCAAAGGTTGTTTGCAAACTAGTCATTTTTCTGTTCTGGTTAATGGATCAGCAATTGACAACATTGATGGGATCCAAGCTCTAAGACAAGGAGATCCTCTCTCTCCCTTTCTCTTTACTCTGGTGGCTGAGGTCTTGAGTAAGTTAATTTCAAAGGCTAACTCTTTGCAATTGGTTAAAGGTTGGACAATTGGGAGGGAGTGTTTTAGTCTCACACTTGCAGTTTGAAGATGATATTCTTGTTTTCTGTGATGGGGAGGGTCAAGAAGGTGTGGAAAACTTGAAGATGCTTGTGAATCTTTTTGAAAGGATCTCCAATTTGAGAATCAATTGGTCCAAAAGTCTAGTGGCTGGCATCAATTTGGAAGAGGCTGAATTGAGAGCAATGGCTGATTTGTTGGGTCGTGAAAAAGGGGAGTGGCCTTTGTGTTATTTGGGTTTGCCCCTTGATGGAAGTCCTAGATCGGCGAGCTTTTGGAATCCAGTAGTGGAAAGGTTTGAGAAAAGGCTGGCAAGTTGGAAAAGGAATTATATCTCATTGGGTGGAAGAATCACTTTGATTAAATGCACCCTAGATAATCTTCCAGTCAATTACATGTTGGTTTTTAAGATGCCCCAAGCTGTGATAAAAAGAAATGAGAAAATCACGAGGGACTTTTTGTGGGAGCCTGGGGAAAGGAAAAAAGACCATTTGGTTAGGTGGGAAAAGGTTAGGCAGCTGATTTGGCTTTGGGTCAGAAAATCAGGTTCTGGGATGACATTTGGGTTGGGGATTCCCCCCTTTCTGAGGTTTTCCCTTCCCTCTTTGCTCTTTCCAGTCTCAAGGGAAAACCTATAGGTGACTTCATCACTTCATCCTCTTCATTTTCTAACTTGAGTTGGAATCTTGGCCTTAATAGAAATTTGAGAGAATATGAAATCTCTGATGTGTCTGCTTTGATTAACTTGGTGAGTTCAGTGATTTTGGGGGACAGTGGTTCAGATTCTAGAGTTTGGGTTCTCAACCAGTCAGGGTCCTTCTCTTGCAAATCCTTTCTAAATTTCCTTGTTGCTAACTTGCTACCTCCTCCTCTCCTTTCCCTGTCAAGGAGGTCTGGTGTCAGCCCATCCCTCCTAAAGTCAAGGAGGTCTGGTGACATCATGGGAAGTTGCACTAGAGAAGCAGTGGTCTGGACAATTTGGGAAGATAGAAACCTAAGGATTTTTGATGACAAGGAAAGAAGCAAAGAAACTGTTACCATGATTCTTCCTCTTCTTTTATTATGTTTTTGGGTTTTTACCAACAACTCCACTTATGATTCACTATCCTCCCTTGAATTTTGGTTCATTCCCCTACCTGTTACCATTCCAACTTATATAATTTTGGTTTATTCCCCCTAGTTGGTTAGTTTTGTCAAGTCTAAATAACTCATTAGTCTTCCATGTGGCAGCATTATTTGGGGCAGAAAGGGCTGCTTGTGCCATCACCATCTTTGGACTTATGAATTATGAAATAAAGCCCTTTTCGAACACAGATGTCAGCAGCTGCACAAAGTGAGCAGTATAATCTTTATTTTTTCTTGAGGATGGATGACAAAAGAACATTGAATAATGATACTATTGCAATTGTTCCATTGAATCTGGGTGTCAAGGTAATGGATCACCCTAGAATATATGAAAATTGAATATTGACTAGATGTAGTAAAAGGTGACAATGTTTTCAAGCATTGCTGGAAACTTGCAGAAGTTTGGCATGATTTTGTAGTCAATCATGATGAGCCAAAGGATCTGAAAATTGGTAATTTGGTTTAATTGGATTCAGTTGTCAGGCTCTGATGAAAATTTTAATTCTAATGCTTACATTGATAGGATTCATATCTGCAATTGTCTTACCAATGATTCTAGTTTTGTTTATTTTCTCTTTGTGCTCATGTATCCATATTGATTCTAACATTTATGTTTCAGATACTTGTTGAGTTGGTTGTGTATGTTTTTCGGTTCTTGCTCATGCTAATATCATTTAGTAGCTTCACAAGTGATCATTGCCTTAATCTTTTCTATTATTTATGCAGCTTTGACCAATTGAACAGCTTGAGATGATTCAGTTGTTGGGTTCTGAAGATTGCATACTAATGCAGCAGCTGATTTTATTTCTGATTTAGATTGGGTTTCTATAATTAATTCATTATCTTCTATATTTGATAAGTATGGTTTCGGTTCTTAGGGTTTGTTCCAGGCCTCTTTGCTGCAGTTGTAATGGTTATATTAATCAACAGTGTTATGCTTCTTGTTTATCCTCCATAGTCTCTACTTACGATAAATACCTTTCCACTTGCTGTTCTTCAAAGTTCAATGACAATGTGGTGCAGAATTTTACTCAAATTCAACTTAACACAGTTACTAGAAGACCGCCTCCAAATACATCCCATTTTTCAGAATGCTTTCATGTTTCATTCTATTCTTCTCATGCCAAAAATACCACTCCCAGAAGATATTTGAAGAAAGGGCCATCTAAAAATTTGAGAGCCATCAGCAAATCTACTTTTAATCAAGCTCAGTTTCAAAATGCAATATCCCAACTCCCACATAGATTCACTCCAGAAGACCTCTATAAAGTCATAACCCTCCAGGATGATCCTCAAGTATGTCTGGAGATCTTTAATTGGGCCTCACAACAACCCAGATTCAGGCATGATGTCTCAACTTACCACATCACAATAAAAAAACTTGGTTCTGCAAAATTTTTCCAAGAGATGGATGATGTTGTTAACCAAGTGCTTGCTGTTCCAAGTTGTGGATCAGAAGCTCTTTTTAATACAATCATATACTTTTTCACAGAAGCTAGGAAATTGTCAAGAGCAATCAATGTGTACAAGTACATGAGGAGGAGCAAAGATTCCAGTTGTAAGCCTTCTGTTAGGACATACAATATTCTCTTTGCAGCACTTTTGGGCCGGGGAAGCAATACATATATAAATTACATGTACATGGATACTATCAGCTGCCTCTTCAAGCAAATGGTAAATGATGGCATTGAACCTGACATTTTCTCATTGAATTTTATGATCAAAGGGTATGCTCAATCTCTTCATGTCAATGATGCTCTTAGAGTATTCCATCAAATGGGTGTGGTATACAACTGCCTTCCCAATTCACATACTTATAATTATCTGATTCATGGGCTTTGTGTCCAAGGCCGGACAGTCAATGCTAAGGAGTTGTATGAGGAAATGAAGAACAAAGGATTTGTGCCAAGCAGTAAGGCATATAATTCCCTTGTGAATTGTTTCGCTATTAATGGTGAGATTGAGGAAGCTGAGAAGATTCTGTGGGAGGTGGCAGAAAAACGGGTGGTAATTGATTTTATTACTTACCAGACGGTCTTGAATGAGATCTGCAGGCAAGGAATGATCGGTAAAGCCATGTTGTTGTTGAATGAATTGCAAGAGAAGGATCTTGTGGATGGGCATGCTTACAGAAAGCTTTTATGTGGGGTTGAAGATGAATTTCGAATTTCAAATTGTAGAAATTGATTGTGGTGAGACAGTTTTGAATGAGATATGCAGGCAAGGAAGGATTGGTAAAGCCATGTTGTTGTTAAAGGAATTGCAAGAGAAGGATCTTGTGGATGGGCATGCTTACAGAAAGCTTTTATGTGGGGTTGAAGATGCATTTAGAAATTGAAATCATATTGGTCATGGTGAAATGGTATTGAATGAGATCTGCAGGCAAGGAAGGATTGGTAAAGCCATGATGTTGTTGAGGAAATCACAAAAGTATCTTGTGGATGGGCATGCTTACAGAAAGCTTTTATGTGGGGTTGAATATTAATATGGAAATTCAAATTATAGAAATTGATTACGGTGAGTATTTGAATCTTTTACTGCATTACTGAAATTTAGTTTTGCTTTGTTTGGATATGGATATGGATATGTTTCAAATAAGATTCGTAGAATGATTGTGGCTAGTATTTGAGTTTTTTAACTGCACCACTGATTTCAAATCTAGTTTTGTTTATTTTTTTGATAATTTCTTTTACTATCTCCTAAATCTCAATGTAGTTGTAATATTGTCTAAGTAAATCAAACTTTCATTTTACACTGGGTAAATTATATAACCTCCTTTGAGGATCTATTATTGCAATTTCTATCTGGGTATTAAATCAAATTTCATGTTTGTTTATTAAATCTCTATGACTATTCTCAGATTTGCTTTTCTTATCGATCTTTCTCTTTTCATTGCCAAGTCATTCCCTTGGATCTTATTTCTCTTAGTTTCTCATTTTCTCCTCTTATCCAGTAGTCATTCTTGTTATTAACAGTTTTTAGTCCTTAAACAATATAACCCAAGCATGTTTTTATGTTGTTTCTTAGTTTTTGAAAACACTTAAATTTCATATACCCTCTTTTGTTGGTTATACATAAGCTAAGTATTAAAAACAAGCAAGGTAACTTTAGACAGGTTTGATATAGATACTTCTCAACTCATTGTTTCTCCTCTTCCTCTTGCTCATTTAGACAGGTTTGTTTACAATACTTTATTTTTGCAATTTTATCTTTTAAACCATCCTTTTTTTAACTTTTATTGAAGAAGAAAACAGCATACAAATTACAAAGGGCCTTTCCACTAAAGCCCAATACCAAGAGTACAAAGATAGTTAGACCTCTCCAGCCAGCAGCTGGGCTCCTAAAGACCTTGGTTGAAGTCCTTTCACCGCAGTAGTCCAGGATATTAGCTTTCCAAATGTATAGGAAATAAGTTGATCCACTTCACTTCGTTTGTTTTGGAAAATTCTGTTATTCCTTTCGGCCTAAATAGTACTTAATACCACAGCTGGGATGGAGGATCATACACTCTTTGAGATCTTTTAAACCATCTTAAATATAACTAAAAGCTTTTGTTTTTCTTAGATATTATTATAAACCCCATTTTAGGTTCTAGAGAAGATTTTTTTGTGATATGTTTATTGATCCAACATCAGATGCACTTGTACATTATAAACAACTTTTCTTGTTTATCAATAACAATAACTTGTTAAGGATCAAAATGGCAAGAGAAAATAAGCACCAACTATTCTAAAACTGAGAATTAGAGCCAACCAACCAAAAAGAAAAAAAAGCCTCAAGAAGGTCAATGACACCAAAAGATAAAACAATAAGAGAAAAGCTGAAACCACCAACTCCTCAGACATGTTAACAAGAGTTCTTGTCACACTTAATCAAACTAGCTTTGCTTCCAAAAACATGAGCAAGCAATGCTACATCTTCCTCCACCAAAGAAAGGGGGAAGCAGACCCTACCTCTCTGCCACAACCTACCTGAAAAAGCTCGTGCTCCAAAATTAAAATCTGAATCCTTCAGCTCAGAATAAGTTGACTCTCTATCGCTTTGTTCTCTTCAGGAGGTTCAACCATTGACTGAAGACTTTCCTGTCTAGGATTCAAAGAATTTGACCTGCTTTCTTGAGTAAACTTTGTTATTGCCCATTCCTAATAACCATGTCGTTCTAGGAGGGTTGAAGGCCAAACTAACGGGAACGTTCCCGAAATCGAAACCCCAAAATTACTCTCTTGTTCAAATCCCCTTCCCACTTTCTCTCTCTCTCTCTCTCTCTCTCTCTCTCTCTCTCCATCAAAAACCCTAACCACTCAACTGCATCATGTGACCAGATCATCGAAGACCGGCGGCAACAGGAAACCAGCTGTAGGTATTTCTTCTTTGTCTCCTTTTCTTCTTCTTCCCGGCACTTCACCTTATTTGTACTAGCATGAATTTTGTGGTTTTAGCAATATAGGAGAACAAGTAATAGAATCTATTTATACTGTTTGGAATTGAATGTCTGAAAATCACCTAGACTGCTGGTTTTTCATCCCTTTAACTGCTGGAAATCAATGTAACATGAGAAGATAATTTGAGGCAAATACAATTGAAACTATCGTTAAATCAATTTAGTTATTCAGTTGGATAGGTCCAGAAATATGTATAAGCAATTGCATTCTAGTTATGATGGTAAGGCTACATTTTGGTCTCTAGTCTCCAGTTTGGTTTGAGGAGAACATCTGACATTAGTGTTATTTTCAGCTCTCATTTCATTGCATAGATAATTTCAGCAATATCATTGTAAGAGTAAATATATGAAAAAAAAATCATTGTAGACTCTAATTCATTGCAGACATTTTTTTGTTGCTTGGGAGGTTGAGGGCGGGGGAATACTAATTTGCATTGCCATGTAGGTAGGAAAACCAGTCCAATGAAGGTAAGTTAGCAAAAATTTTCAATGGGTGGCTTCCATAAGTAATTCAGATGAAGATACTTCAACAAGGAACATTCAGGAAAATCTTGAAAAATGTGTTGAAAAGTTGGAGAAATTAGTAGCTGAGTGGAGTAGACAAATGGACTATGTGAGGTTTTCCCGGAAGTTACTTGTTTAAGGRATGAAGACCATAAGGGTCTTAACCATTGCATTCATGGTTGTGTTTTTTGTATTATATATACATAAGAGTTAGTATATTTAGGTGCTATTTTGTGAACCTTGTAATTACTAAGAAGGATAGTGAATCAGTACTTAGGTACTATTTTGATCAAGGTTGGTGAATTCTTTGTAAACCTTTTAAATTAGTATTTAGGTGCTATTTTGATTAAGGATAGTGAAACTTAGGATTTATGTTTTTATTCTTGGAAGCAATGTCATTAAAATCGTACGATTTGTGATTCAAATCATATGATTCATATCKAATCGTYCATAAAATGATAYGAGTCGTACATACAAATTGTTTTTTTGAAAAAAATTGTACGGCTTATGTATGAATCGTAGATTTGAATCGCAAATTGCGATTTATACGATAATTTAAAGAGTGGCTTAAAATTGAGAAGACTGTTATAGGCCTCAATTTTTTAAACTTTCATTTATATGGGGAGGGGCARTTATCTCATTTTATATAAACAGTAGATAWAATTCAATATTCCATGGAATGAAAGCTCTTTATTAGTTTATTACGAAAGAAAAGTTTGGGCGGGAGGAAAAACCCTCCTCCATGACTGTTGCATGAAAGCAAGGCTAAAACCCCCCTCCATGACTGTTACTGAGCTGCATGAAAGCTCCAAAGCTAAGTTGTTTTGATTGCCGATAATCTGTTCAAGGTAAGTTGTTTTTTCTTCTTCTTCCTCCTCCTCCTAATACCTGAAACCCTCTTCTTTTAGTGCAAGAATGGGCGATTTGCCCATTTTTTTCTACTTTTTTTTTTACACAAAAGAGGGCTCCACCCTTCATTTTCCCCTCTTTCTTTACTTTTTTCTCAAAAAAAAATCCTATTTTTTGATACCATTTTTCTCAATTGTTTTTAACACAAAAAACAGGG